TAGTCAAGGGGGCGAGTAGAGGCTAACTCAGTTACTACGGCAGTAAGAGCGGAAACAGAGGACAGAGAAGCACGTGGGTCGGTAACAAGAGAGGCGAGAACACAAGAGAGAATAGGACGGTACGTGCGGTAGTAGTCCGTAACAGGAGTAGAGAGGGAGCAGTGAGAGCCGATTCAGGAGGAAAAGGAAGTACAGAAGGAGACGAACGAGGTGAACTAGAACGAATCAGGGCAGTACGAAGGTCTGAGAGAGGGACAGGGGACGAGGGACGAGCACGAGGAGAGCGAGGAGTCCAAGCGTGAGAAAGAGGAGGGGACAACGGAGGCTGAGAACGAGGGAAAACAGTTGGAGTGGGGTCAGGAGGAGGAAACATGGGACCGTAGACAGGAGGAGAGGGAGAGGGGGGAGGAGAGGGAGAGGAGGGAGGAGAGGGAGAGGGGAGACCGAGGGTCTAAAGACCAGAGACAGGAGGAGGAGGTGGCGGCTGCTGCTGCTGCTGCTGCTGCGGTCGCTGCTGCGGCTGCTCCGGCCGCCGCCGCCGCTGCTGCTGCTGCTCCGGCTGCTGCTACTGTGGCTCCTCCAGCTGCCGTAGCTCCAGCTGTTGCCGCTCCAAATCTCTCTCCTCTCGCTCCAACTCCAGCTGCTCCTCACGGGCACGGCGAACACGGGCATGGTGGCGGGTCGGGTAGGGGTGGGGGGGAAGAGTAGTGTCCGGAGAGGTGGTAGCCCCAGGACCGCCCGCCAAAGAAACAGTCACACCAACCCCAAAGCCAGCACCACCAGCAGCAACACGGCCAGTCTCAGACTCTCCCGGTCCCGTAGGGGGCGCACCCGCACCCCCAGTTGTAGCACCCCAGAAACAGCGCAACGAACACCAGCTCCCTGAAGACTAGAACCTCCTGCAGACTCGGGCTCAGCTCCAACGCCAACACCCCTGGCACCAGAACCTCGTGAAGGCACACTCTCAGCTCCAACTCCAACCCCTCCACGGGTAGCACCCCAAGGGTCCTCGACACGAGCACCTGCTCCCGCAGGGTCTACAGTAGGCCGTGAGGAGGACTGTGGGGAAGGGGACGGCACCTGAGGGGCTACCGAGGGGGGAGGGGTAGTGTGTGACACACCTGACATGGCTGGATCAGGGGGGGGCTATACCAAAAAACAAGGAGGGGGGGCTGGAGTCAGGAAGAGAGGGGGGGGAGGAACCGAAAGACCTCGACAGGGGTACCGGGTGTAGTAGGGGACTGACTCGACAAAACGAACGTCGCGGGAGTCAAAGAACCGGTGAAGGGGAGAATGGTAAAAGGTGAAGTCAGAGGAGTCCACTGAGAACCAACGAAGAGACAGGGAAGGGCGCGAGGGGAGAGCTTATCCGCGGAGGTGTCACGAACAAGCGCCAAGCCGCCCCAGACACAAAAACGCGACGCAGCACCAGGGGACCCGGTCCAAAGACCGGTGGGTGAAGCCTCTGGCCGAGAGACACATGGCCAGAGGTTCAGCTGGTGAGCGGCGTGCCTAACCGCGTAGGGCCACACAAATTGGGGCGCACGGGCGTGGATCATGGACGTGCGTGCAATCTCCATGACCAAACTGATGCGGCGCTCAGCAACCCCATTCTGCTGTGAGGACTCTGGAAGCGTCCAGGACTGACGGATGCCCTGCTCGTGATAGAATCCAACAAGAATACCAGAGCGAAACTCACCCCCACGGTCAGAGTGAAGACAGCTGACACGACGACCACGAGTGTCCGCAGTGATAAGTAATCACAGGATCAACGTAGAAGTCACCTCATACTTCTTCGCCAGGGGGAACACTGTGGTGTAGCGAGAGTAGTCGTCAACGACCACCAAAAAGAAACTATTTCGCTGAGGGCCAGGGCAAGGGGCCGGGCCCCAGACGTCCAAGTGGAGAGTCTCGAAGGGCTCGGTGGTCGGACGAAGGGAGGAGGAGTGAGGGGTGGCGCGCAGCCGACCCTCGACGCAGGGACCGCAAGGTGGTGCATGTCAACAGGAGTTGGGTGTTGGCCCCATCCTCGCTTGGGCGGAGTCGACTTTGTGGTCGGGTGTGAGGGGAGCAGCCGACTTGCAGCAGTGGACGAGCTGGTCGACGAGGAGGTCGACCTTCACGGGGGTCAGTGCACGGGCGCCGACTTTGAGGCGCCGACTTCAGGGAAGCCGACTTCGGCGGTCGGCTGACAGCTGGTCGACCTGCGGATGGTCGACCGGACCTGGTGGTCGACGAAGGAGGGGCCGACGTCGACCTCGACTCAGGACGCCAAGCAGTCGGGCGTCGAGTAGCGGGGCGTCAACTTCGTGACGCCGACTTCGGGTGGCCGACGTGGGTGGTCGGCCGACAACTGCGCGGGTTGACGAGGAGCGGGTCGACCAGGAGTGACGTCGACCTAGAGGAGGTCGACCGAGGGTGTAGTCGGCCTGGTGAGGACGACGTAGAGGTGGTCGTTGACTTGGGAGGTCGACGGGCACGTACGGGAGCGGCTAGTCGACGTGGTAGCCCGGTCGACCAGGTTACCTGGGTGACGAAGTACTGCGGAGGAGCGCGACGGTCGCCCAGGCAAAGCTGGCGAGTCCGACCTCGGGGGTGGTATCCCGAGGTCGTCGTGGCGGATCAGAGGCAGACGTCAGCTCGAGGTTGATGTGGTGTGTGCGCTGTGCAGATGACGGGACTCTGCACGCCAATCACCTGCGCGCACCTGCGAAGCGAGTGCGCTGCTGTTCTGCATGAGCAACGCTGGCACGCCGTCAACCTGCGACGTTGGCACGCCGTCGACCTTGCACTGCTGGAGCGCGGTCGGCCTTGCCGTACTGGAACGCGGTCGACCAAGCTGCGCTGGCAGTTGGCCGACTTGGATGTTTGCTCTGATGTAGTCTAGCAATGCCAACTTCATTGGACCATTGTTCTGAACTTTTCCTAGTGAAACTCTTGCCAATTTTCCCCGTGAACTAGCAAGTAGTGTACGCACAAGGAAAACGACTAAGGAACAGAGAACGCAGAGATCACACGAGCACCCGTGTCTAGCCCGTAGCCTAGCTCCCGTTGCAGCAGTTATCTCCGCAGTGCACGCGAAGGCGGCAGCGACGGCAAGACTCGCGGGAGGCCTAAGACAAGACGCTGACTAGACATAGCGCGCAGGCGAGGAGTGGACAGGTGCCCCATCCGGTGGTGCCACAGAACGGTGGGGTGGGCAAGTGACCGGCAGGAGCAAGACGCAGCAACTGGACCAGACACGCGAACCTGACCAGACACAGCTACCCGGTGAGAAGCGGCAACCTGGTGAGTCGGGGGGACCTGACGGGGGGCAGTGACAGTGGTCGGGGGCAGTCAGGGCTGATTTTATCAGGGTAATTACCCTGATTTCAATGTGATTACAGGCTTCTCACCTGGTGGTCCCTGCAATTTTATAATTTCTGACTTATGAACTCTGATCCATTCATAATAGTGCTTTAGCGAGCCCTGAAATATTGTATCTAGGCTCAGAGTAGTGTTCTTACTGACTCTGTCGATGTAGAGTACGCGTTCTGTGGACTCTGAATCTGACCTTATCGGTTGGAAGTTTCGTGGAAATTTCCTTCCGATAATCCCCTTCGGATTGATCGCGGTACAGCCAGCGCGTGAGCGACGGACAGCAGCATGTTTGACAGGCGAATACACTCGATGTTTGTTACTTTCACAAAGTGCAAAAACGTTGTTGTACTGTCGTAACTGCGTGTGTGTGAAGTTACCAGCACATTTTTGCGTTTCGTACAGCGATGTTGACGACATTTAGGTGCTCTATGGTATCGAATCGAAATGTTTTGTTGACCGAAATCGCTAATCTCTTCCCCGCACTTAAACGTATGGATAAATACCCTTTCCTCAAACTAAATGGTGGGAAATTAGCGCGCTCAAAGTGTGCGCGAAACACATAGCGCACTTTACGCAGAACATCATTTTTTCCCCTGTAATAAAGAGCGCGTTACTACTCTGAACTTCGATTTTCGACCCTGAACAATCAGAGTTATATACTTTTCAACCCAGAGCAATTAGGGTAGCATCATTCTGAAAAATGTGCACTCATAATTGAGGGGAAAATTTTTCCCTGTAATCAGGGGGGCTTAATATGAAACGTCAGCCCTGGGGGCAGTAGCTGCTGCTGCTGCTGCTGCTGCCGCTGCTGCCGCTGCTGCTGCTGCTGCTGCTGCTGCTGCTGCTGCTGCTGCTGCTGCTGCTGCTGCTGCTGCTGCTGCTGCTGCTGCTGCTGCTGCTGCTGCTGCTGCTGCTGCTGCTGCTGCTGCTGCTGCTGCCGAGGGCCAGTGTGTAGTGTGTAGAGACCAGAGCCCGGCTCAGCGGTAAAGGTGGCCAGAGGCGCGTACGTGTCCCTGTTGACACAAACTGCAGTCTCGCCAGAAGGCTCAATCCACACACCCACGTGACTACTCACATCTGACACCATGCCCCTCACCTAGCCTATGGGGGTGTGTCAAATTAAATACATTGTATTTGTATGGTAGGTGTACATTCTGTAACCAACACATTTTCCTCTTACGACAATTGAATAAGAACCCTGATAGATCATGGAAGACCTATTCTAAAATAGAAATTACAACGAGGCAAAATTGTGACCTCTAAAAATTGCCCTGTTAATCCGGGAACCAGGGTAACTTTCACTGAAAAAAAATATCGACATATTTGAGTGCGTATCATATGTTTGTTGTTTTTCTCAAATTATCAAAAGTTTCATAAGACGATTCGCATACGCCCAAAAGGACATCCGATTTTTCCGGCACTCACCGTTGCTTCGCATCATCCCATAAGACGGTGACCACCAAATAAGTTGGACAACCGCCCCAAACGTCACATTGAGTACCCTTGTGCACATACAGTGCCCATTGCGTCACCCACATGGCTGCCCCACTCACTTCCTCGTGTCTCCCGACATCCCTCCCCGCGGCCGTCCATCCACGTGCAACCTACCGCGCTTCTCTCGTCGCCCCTCCCCCGTTGTCATGCGCCGATCGTACCACCCGTGCCTTGCGCGGCACCCGCCTACCCACTGCGCTCGCGTCTCCACCCGCGGCGCCCGCACGCCGCAGCGCGGCAGTCCGCGCGTCGCTCCCTCCCCCTCAAGGTGGTGCGCCTCTGCCATTCGCTGTGCCGCGCTCACATCCGTCCGCTCGCTCGCACTCGGCCCATCCCGCCTCCCGCGTCTCAACCACCCCTTGCCACGCCCCTCGCCACCCCCCCTGTCGCCCTCAGACGTCTTTCAGCCGCTGGCGACGGCGTTGCGGCGACTGCCGTCACCAGTCGCCGCAGGGGGCGCGGCGGAGACGGCGAACGAGGCGGCGTTGTTGGCGGCAGTGGGGGCGGTGAAGGGGCGGGGGAGAGAAGTGACGGACGAGCAGCGGCAGGTGAGCGCGGGGGCACACGGAGAGGGTCGTCGGGTGTGAGCACGATGTGCGCGACCAGCGTGCCCCTCCTCCCTCTCACCTCGCCCCACTGCTCCCTCCCACGCCCTCCCTGCGCCCATCTCCGCGTGCACCGTGTGGCACGGCGCTGCTGCACGTTGCCCCCAGCGGGGCGGCAGGGTGCTGATCTCGGGTTGGCCGCGCAGCTCATGGCAGCGTGCGTCGTCTCGTGCCGTTGAGCAGTGCGAGCAGCGCGCCCATGGGCAGTGCACCGCCAGGCTGCTGCAACCTTCCAATCACCGCTCTCATGCCCTTTCACCCTTTCGCATGTGCTCTGCACTCCCCTCCGCCGGTTCATGTGCGATTGTGTGCGTGCATGTGTTTGTGTATGTGCGTGTGTGCGTGGGTGGATGGAGGTGTGTGTGTGTATGTGTGTGTGTGTGTGTGTGTGCCTGGGTGCATGAATGTATGTCTGTGTGGGTGTTCGGGTGTGTGGCTGTGTGGCTGTGGTGGTGTGTGATTATGTGGTAATGTGAGTGCGCGTGTGTGGGTGTGCATGGTGTGCGGGTGGGAGTGGGTGGGTGCGGGGTGGGCGCCATGCATGTGTCACGGCCGTGCAGGCGATTCAGAGGGCGGTGGAGCGCCTGGAGGCCAGTCAGGGCGTGCGCGAGCCGGTGAGTGCGTGTGGGTGGGGCACATGCAGGCGAGGGGCAGTCTGAGAGAGAGGGATTGAGTGAAGCACGGGAGGGAGTGTGGCGGAAGTCAGGGCTTTGTGCTGAGCGTGCAGAGCGGAGAGCGGCTTGAGGGGCGAAGCACACACATGGCAGTGGGTGCGAGGGCACATCCATTTCTTTCCGCACCTACGTGTGTGTGACGGCCATCTCTCCCTCAGTGCGCCTGCTGTCACCGCATGATCTCTGCTCTTCCTGTGCCTCTCAGTCGCCCTTTCTTGTCAACTTTCACCCTTGCCCATCCGCCTCCTCCCCCCATTTCTCCGCCTCCGTTTCCTCTGCTCTCCGTGGCCTTGCCTGCCGGTGTGTGACGGCAGGCGCGCTCGCCCCTGCTGGAGGGCACGTGGGAGCTGCTCTACACCACGCGCCCTGGCACTGCCTCGCCCATCCAGGTGCCCTGCCCTGCCCTGCCCTGCCCTGCCCTGCCCTGCCCTGCCCTGCCCTGCCCTGCCCTGCCCTGCCCTGCCCTGCCCTGCCCTGCCCTGCCCTGCCCTGTGCTGCCCTGTGCTGGGACGCCCCCCACCTTGCCACCCTGTGCTGTGGTGCATTTGCCTCTCACAAAGTGTGTCCCCGTGCGCTAATCGCTCTCCCTGCGCTTGCCGCATGGCACCCGCGTGTGTGAGCTCCGCCATGCACCATCTCATGCCCCACGTGCCTGCTCCACGCCCCACGTGCCTGCTCCACGCCCCACGTGCCTGCTCTCTGCCTCGTCCCCTGCCGCTCCTGCTTCCCCCCGCCACCATCGTCATGCTCCCTGTCACGGTTATAGGTCGCTCATATGCCCTGTGTGTCCATGCATGGTATGTGGCAATGCATGGTATGTGGCAATGCATGGTATGTGGCAATGCATGGTATGTGGCAATGCATGGTATGTGGCAATGCATGGTATGTGGCAATGCATGGTATGTGGCAATGCATGGTATGTGGCAATGCATGGTATGTGGCAATGCATGGTATGTGGCAATGCATGGTATGTGGCAATGCATGGTATGTGGCAATGCATGGTATGTGGCAATGCATGGTATGTGGCAATGCATGGTATGTGGCAATGCATGGTATGTGGCAATGCATGGTATGTGGCAATGCATGGTATGTGGCAATGCATGGTATGTGGCAATGCGTGGTATGTGGCAATGCATGGTATGTGGCAATGCATGGTATGTGGCAATGCATGGTATGTGGCAATGCATGGTATGTGGCAATGCATGGTATGTGGCAATGCATGGTATGTGGCAATGCATGGTATGTGGCAATGCGTGGTATGTGGCAATGCATGGTATGTGGCAATGCATGGTATGTGGCAATGCATGGTATGTGGCAATGCATGGTATGTGGCAATGCATGGTATGTGGCAATGCATGGTATGTGGCAATGCATGGTATGTGGCAATGCATGGTATGTGGCAATGCATGGTATGTGGCAATGCATGGTATGTGGCAATGCGTGGTATGTGGCAATGCATGGTATGTGGCAATGCATGGTATGTGGCAATGCATGATATGTGGCAATGCATGGTATGTGGCAATGCATGGTATGTGGCAATGCATGGTATGTGGCAATGAATGGTATGTGTGGCATGGTGGCGGGGCACAGAGGGCGTTCGTGGGAGTGGATGCGTTCAAGGTGTACCAGCAGATATCCCTGCACCCGCGCAACACACGGGTCAACAACATTGTCGTCTTTGGGGACGCCATCGGCCGCCTTAAAGTCGAGGTCACTGCATGCCCCCCACCCTGCTCGCTCACCCACATGCCTCTTTGCCCACGCACATGCACGCTCCACCTGCGCCTGCATACCACTCGTCTGTTCTCGCCCTCCCATTGCCTTTCCTCGTTACACCGGTGCTGTGTCCACCCAAGAACTTTTTTCCTCACATCACCAACAAGTTTCCTCCTGCCACACCCTGCCGCCCTCACCGACCCCCTCCCCATGCAGGCCGAGGCATCGGTGGCGTCGCCGTCGCGTGTGGCGTTCCGCTTTGACCGTGCAGCGTTCCAGCTCTCCTTCTGGCCCTACCGCCTGCCGTACCCCGTGCCGTTCCGCCTGCTGGGCGACGAGGCCAAGGGGTGGCTCGACACCTCGTACCTGTCGCCCTCGGGCTCCCTGCGCATCTCCCGCGGCAACAAGGTGCGCATCTCCCGCGGCAACAAGGTGCGCATCTCCCGCGGCAACAAGGTGCGCATCTCCCGCGGCAACAAGCTGCGCATCTCCCGCGGCAACAAGGTGCGCATCTCCCGCGGCAACAAGGTGCGCATCTCCCGCGGCAACAAGGTGCGCATCTCCCGCGGCAACAAGGTGCGCATCTCCCGCGGCAACAAGCTGCGCATCTCCCGCGGCAACAAGGTGCGCATCTCCCGCGGCAACAAGGTGCGCATCTCCCGCGGCAACAAGGTGCGCATCTCCCGCGGCAACAAGGTGCGCATCTCACGCGGCAACAAGGTGCGCATCTCCCGCGGCAACAAGGTGCGCATCTCCCGCGGCAACAAGGTGCGCATCTCCCGCGGCAACAAGGTGCGCATCTCCCGCGGCAACAAGGTGCGCATCTCCCGCGGCAACAAGGTGCGCATCTCCCGCGGCAACAAGGTGCGCATCTCCCGCGGCAACAAGGTGCGCATCTCCCGCGGCAACAAGGTGCGCATCTCCCGCGGCAACAAGGTGCGCATCTCCCGCGGCAACAAGGTGCGCATCTCCCGCGGCAACAAGGTGCGCATCTCCCGCGGCAACAAGGTGCGCATCTCCCGCGGCAACAAGGTGCGCATCTCCCGCGGCAACAAGGTGCGCATCTCCCGCGGCAACAAGGTGCGCATCTCCCGCGGCAACAAGGTGCGCATCTCCCGCGGCAACAAGGTGCGCATCTCCCGCGGCAACAAGGTGCGCATCTCCCGCGGCAACAAGGTGCGCATCTCCCGCGGCAACAAGGTGCGCGCCTGCCACCACGGGGTGGTGCTCACGTGTCACTCGCGTGTGGAGGGCTGAGAGGGGGGCGCCATCTACACGTGGCTATGGCACCGTGTCTCCATGCTCTCCCACCCACTTCCCATGCCATCTCTCCCCCACTTCCTCCCTGCTTCTCTCATCTTACTGTTACTCTCGTTTCCCACACACACCCCGCCTGCATGCACTAGAGCCGCCTCACGCCACACACGCTCCTCTCAATTGCGCCGTGCCTCATCCTCCTCAGCCCCACCAATCAACCCCATGCAAGGTTCAAAAATACGGTAAACGTAAATTACGGCTCGTAAATTACGGTCGTAATTTACGGTGGTTTTGGCAAAAATACGGTCGTTTTTTAAATGGACATTTTTTGCGGATTTTTTTTTTTCCAGAAATTCCTAGAAAGCTTACAACGATTACAACGATGACAAGGAAGGCGACAACATACTACACTACAGAATGGTGGTTTTTGCCCTGGTTTAACTTGGTGGTGTTGCGTTGGCGAATGGAATATGCAAAAGGGATGAGATGGAAGGGATGAAGATTGGACGAACGCTATTGGTTGGAATGGTTTTGCAGTGTCGAAATTGAGTTGAGTAGCGCATGCGGGCGAAAAAATCGAACGGGCCGCGAAACGACCCACCGACTTGGCGAAACGGGTAGACTTGTGTTATCCGTTCGCCAAATGTACAATTTGCCGCGTCGCACAAATTTGTACATTTGCGATTCGGCGAAATACACAAACGAGTGTGCGAATGGGCAACAAACCTGTTAAACTGTCACCAAAATGCACAATGTCGCGCCTCGAGATTTTGCTGACACTCGCGACTCGGGAAAAAAAACACTCTCGAGTGGGTTTGGGGCCACAAAAATTCTCACGAACAGGTTGACGGTTGGGAAATGTTGAAATTCGCTATACACAAACTCGGTTTCAAACTTTCGGTCGTAATTTACGACCGTATTTTTGAACCAACCTATTTTTGCAACGTCAAACCGTTTTTTACCGTAATTTACGACCGTAAATTACGATACCGTAATTTACGGTAAATTTTCAAAAATACGGTCGTATTTTTGAACCTTGACCCCATGGACACCTCGTCAGCTTGTGCCCTCCTCCGCGTATCCCAACCCACGGTTGTGCATGGCACGGCAGGGCACCACGTTTGTGCTGCGGCGCTTTGTGACACCGCAGGAGCGCCTGCTGCACGCCATTCAGCGCAAGCAGCCCGGCGTCGAGCAGGTGCGCTCTCACCCTGCCAGGGGGCGTGCCGGGGCCGGGGGGCAGTCAGCGCCTCACAAGAGAAAGTAACTAGCTGCTCTCAGGTGGCGCCCAGGGGGGCAGTGTGGGGCTCATGGGTGGAGGGACGGGAAGGTATTGCAGGCAGGCTCAAGGCGGGAACAAGGTGTCACGTGTAATGTAGCGCAGCCCCTCACATTTCCACAATTCTTGTTGTCTTTGCCCCCTGTGCTTTTTATCTCGTTAGGACCCCCCTGTTTCTCCATCGCTGTCCTCCATGCGTATGCTTGCCCTTCTATTCAACGCCACACCATTGTTTTCTGCTCCACGTGCCCTCCTCAACATGCTCACCGCACACAACTCCCCCCTTCGAAACCCAATCGCCCAGCTGCTAGCGCCAGTGGCCGCCATAAACCCAACGCGCAACCCCGCCTCCTCCGACCTGCTGCCAGGCCGCTGGCGCCTCCTCTGGTCCTCGCAGGTGCACTCCTCCCCCCCTCCCCGCCTCCCTCCACCACTCCCCGCCTCCCCCCCTCCCTATCTACCTCCCTCCCCCCTTCCCTTCCTCCCTCCCCCCCTCCCTGCCTCCCTCCCCCCCCTCCCCGGCTCCCTTCCCCCCTCCCCCACTCTCTCCCCCCCTCCCCGCCTCCCTTCCCCCCCTCCCCGCCTCCCTCCCCCCCCTCCCCGCCTCCCTTCCCCCCCTCCCCGCCTCCCTTCCCCCCCTCCCCACCTCTCTCCCCCCCTCCCTGCCTCCCTCCTCCCTGCCTTCCTCCCTGCCTCCCTCCTCCTCTCCCTTCCTCCCTCCCTCCCTCCCTCCCTCCCTCCCTCCCTCCCTCCCTCCATCCCTCTTCCATCCCTCCTTCCCTCCATCCCTCCTCCCTCCCTCCCTTCCCCCCTCCATCCCTCCCTCCCTCCATCCCCCCTCCATCCCTCCTTCCCTCCATCCCTCCTCCTTCCATCTCTCCCCCCTCCCTTCCTTCCCCCCTCCATCCCTCCCTCCCTCCATCCCCCCTCCATCCCTCCTTCCCTCCATCCCTCCTCCTTCCATCTCTCCCCCCTCCCTTCCTTCCTCCCTCCATCTCTCCCTGCTGCACTTTCCCCCTAGCTTTTGCCCTCGTCATCCGATCTCCTGTGGTCTTCTATCGCTTGCAATTGGCCACCATCCGTTCTTCCTGCCATCCATGTGGGTGCATGTGGGTGCATGTGGGTGCATGTGGGTGCATGTGGGTGCATGTGGGTGCATGTGGGTGCATGTGGGTGCATGTGGGTGCATGTGGGTGCATGTGGGTGCATGTGCGTGCATGTGCGTGCATGTGTGTGCATGTGTGTGCATGTGTGTGCATGTGTGTGCATGTGTGTGCATGTGTATGCATGTGTGTGCATGTGTGTGCATGTGTGTGCATGTGTGTGCATGTGGGTGCATGTGTGTGCATGTGTGTGCATGTGGGTGCATGTGGGTGCATGTGGGTGCATGTGGGTGCATGTGGGTGCATGTGGGTGCATGTGTGTGCATGTGGGTGCATGTGTGTGCATGTGGGTGCATGTGGGTGCATGTGTGTGCATGTGTGTGCATGTGGGTGCATGTGGGTGCATGTGGGTGCATGTGGGTGCATGTGGGTGCATGTGGGTGCATGTGGGTGCATGTGTGTGCATGTGTGTGCATGTGTGTGCATGTGTGTGCATGTGGGTGCATGTGTGTGCATGTGTGTGTATGTGTGTGCATGTGTGTGCATGTGTGTGCATGTGGGTGCATGTGGGTGCATGTGTGTGTGTGCGTGCATGTGTGTGTGTGTGCATGTGTGTGCATGTGTGTGCGTGCATGCCGTGCATGGCTCTCAGGCCAGTGAGGCCAACAGGGTGCAGCGGCTCACAGCAGGCTTCGCCAAGAACTTCCAGGTGCTGCCGCATGGGAGAGGGATGTTGGGGGCAATGATGTGGGGACCGTAATGCGCATGTGCATGGAGAGCTTGCTCTAGGACCACATGGACATGCCTGCTCCCACACCGTGACTGTCAAGCGGTGCTGGGCAAGAGTCTGTAGCGCATGCTATCATCCATGCTCAATGACAATGCAATGCGCCCAGATTGGAGGGTCCTCATGATGATGCCTTTCATAGTACCCTTCCCATTAAATCTGAAACACCAAATGCTTATATTCTTGCAGCGGGGGGGTAAAATTTTAGCAGTTAAGGCCGTCGATTCGAATACTGTAGAGACAATGCAGCAAGTTGCTGTGCCATTGCTTCCTCTGCCACTGAGGCTTTAAGCTGCGAGGCAAGCCAGCGACGTTAATGCAGGCAGGGGCTGTTTGCGCTGCACACTTGCTCCGTGCTTCGAAGCGTCTGTACGTCCCAGGACACCGCGTGATCGTACGTTACGCGTAAACATTGACGTATCTACACGTACACATAAAAATGTGTCACATCTTGCATGCTGGGCAGGAAGGGAATAATCTGCCAAGCAAGAAAAGTTAGTCCATGCGTTTTGGTGCATAAGGACAGTCTTGTTGTGCTGAGGTTCTTTAGTGAGGCGAGGTATTAACCCGCTCTGTTGAAAGTCAAGCTGCCTGACAAGGTGAGAGGATAGTATGGGCTGGTTAGTAAAACCAGACCCTGTCAATTTCTTTGAGTTGCGGTTGAAGTATTGCCAGTGTGACATGACATTGAAAGAGTTTGCTATGTGCGCCCCCAGGTGGTGAGCGAGGACGGGTCGCGCCTGGAGAACATCGTGGAGCTGCTGCCCTCCGTGCTGCTCCGAGCCGCCGCCGAGGCATAGTCAGTGCCTCGCTTGCCATGCCATGCCATGCCATGCCATTTCACATCACACCATGCCACACTATGCCATTCCACACCATCCGATGCCATGCCATACATTTTCATGCCATGCCATTCCACGCCATTCCACGCCATTCCACGCCATTCCACGCCATTCCACGCCATTCCACGCCATTCCACACCATTCCAACCCATGCCATGCCATGCCAAGCCACAACCTGCACCATGCCATGCTCTCTGCGTCTGCCACCTTAGCGTTGTCACCGTTGCACATCATGGTTTGTGTGCATGCATCCCGTGCAGTGCGGTGGGCCCTGCGCGCACGGAGGTGTACATCGATGCCACCACGCTGGAGCTGGGCGCGCTCAAGGTGGACCTGCCCATCACAGGCCAGGGCTACATCGACCAGCTGTACGCTCCCCCCCCCACCTCCCTGCACCCCTCCCACCCTCCCTCCCCCCCTCTATCGAATAGGAACTATAATATTTCTGAGACGATCAGCCACATGCCTTGGCAGCCATAAAAAGGAATGCACGTATAAATGTGTGTGCGGAGTGGTTGTGGGTTTGCTTCAGTGCTGCCACCCATCTGACTGTGAGGGCCAAGGGGTCACGCCAAACAAATGCGTGGTGGTGGTATGGCGGGTTGAGGGATGTGCAGCGAGGGATCTAACAAGCATGCATGGAGGATTCCTCATGTCGGCTGTAAACCCTGCACCCCGGCCGCACACCACACGACAGGGTGGTGGGGAGAGGATGCAAGAGCTGCTTCGTAGAGTTGTTCCCATTCGCCACCCACTGCTTCAGGCGGAGCTTTACTTGTGCAAAGGGGCGAGCCGAGTAATGCTCGACTCGTCCCTAGCCTTGCTCGGCCGAGTACGAGCCCGAGTCGAGTAATACTCGACCGAGCATTTTCCCCCAAAACAGAAACTCGTTACTCGCCTTTTAAAAGGGAACTCGGGCGAGCATTTAGAAAAGCTCGTCCGAGTACGAGTAATGCTCGGCCCGCTGCCCTGTAGCTGCAAAAACAGGGGCCCTTACAATTACCATGGACGCGTCCAGCTAGCTAATGAAGGAATATCGGAGTAGACTAGCGGGGAAGGGAGGGGGTTGTGTTGTGACGAGATCTGAAATTGGAACGGGTGGTTGGGATTTTTGTAGATTCAGTGCGGTGAACAGAGGTAAGTAGTGGCGACTTGGTTGGGAACTCAAGGCGGAAAATTGTCCGCGAATTACAGTAGTCGGGGAAGCAATATTTCGCCCGCCGAATAACAGTAGTTGGCCTAAACCCTAAAGCAAGATCTTATCTGAGCTTAGCGATTGACACGACATGTGGCGGACATCGCCGATGTGCGCAGCGAAATCGTCAATCTGCGCGGATCGGCGGTCGAAATCGCCGATCTGCGCGGATCGGCTGGCTAAATCGCCGATCTGCGCGGATCGACGGGCAAAATCGCCGTTTTGCGCGGATCGACGGGCGAAATCGCCGATCTGCGCGGATCGGCGGGCGAAATTGTGCTCGAGTACTCGTCGAGCTAAAAAAACTCGGCGAGTAAAACTCGGCTCGACTCGTCCGAGTAAAATTTATAACTCGGGCGATACCGAGCGAGTAACTCGTCTCGTTGCACAGGTATACCCAATCGGGTCTCTGTGATGATTTGATCATTGTGACAAGATCGCGGACAAAGTAGTGGCGAAGCTCGATGTGTTTGGAGCGTCCATGAAAGACGGTTTCCTTGGTGAGGTGGATGGTGCTGCCGTTGTACACTAGAGGGTGGGACATGGCTATGGTGACCCAAGGTCAGTGAGTAGATAGCTGAGCTAGCGTGCCTCCTGAGCCGCCATCGTGACTGCGTACAGCTCGGCTTTGCAGGAGGAGAGTGCGACGGGGGAGGAAAAGGTGGAGCGCCAGCTGATGAGGCCGCTCCCGAGTGCGAAACCATATCTTTGAGAGCTTCAATGGTCGGGCTGTGTGTCTGACCAAGACGAGTCATTTAAGCCGGTGAGAACAGGTGGGTTCACACCACCAAAAGCGAGGGTGTAGTCCTTTGTGCCCTGGAGGTAGCGTAGAACACGCATGGCTGCCTTCCAATGATCTCCACCGTGCCTGCCGGTGCCAACGAACCGTGCGAGAACACAGACCGGGTAGGCAAGGTCGTGGACTAGTGCAGGCCATGACGTACATCAAGGCCCCAATGAGTTCTGCATAGGGATGAGAGGAGGTGATGGGAGTGGCAGGAGGGGAGAGCCGGTGCCCGAATGCAACCGGTGTGGGGATGGGTTTGGCTTTCGACATACCAAACCTCTTAAGTACCTTCTCAATGTAGAAGGACTGAGAGAGGGTGATAGTCTTGGCTGTGAGGTTGCGGGTGATCTCCATGCCGAGGTAGTTGCGGACTTTCCCCAGGTCTTTGGAGGCGAGGCATTGCTGCAGCTCATCCTTAACCTCCTGAAGTTCAGCAGCTGTGTCAGCGGCCAGCAGCATGTCGTCGACGTAGACGATGTAGAAGGGTGAAGGGGTCAAGCGAAGGAAGAGGCAGGAGGCAGCACGGGAGGGGCCAAAGCCAAGTGCACGAAGGGTGGATGAGAGTTTGGCGTGCCATTCTCGAGTTCCTGGTTGAGTCCGTAGACGGGTCGGAGTAGATTCCAGACGGTGGCAGGATCGTGGGGAGCGTGGAAGCCTTTGGGACGTTCCAGAAAGATGAGCTCATGGAGGTCGCCTTGCAAGAAGACAGTGGTGATGTTCATGGAGTGAATGAGCATCCCGCGTCTGCCAACAAATTCCAGGAACACGCGAATGACTGGCGGGGTGACAGTGGGTGAGTAAGTCTCGAAGAAGTCCGAGCCGTAGGTCTGTGTGAAGCCTGTGACAATGAAGGTTGGAAGAGAAATTGATGGTTGATTGATGGAAGGGGGGGGTTTACATAGGAAGTGGGTTGGATCCTATCCTAGGTGAACATTATCGGACCCCACCCATGAAGTTGGGTTGGGGAATTATTGGAGGGGTCCAATAATGTTGGCCAAGTTGGGGTTGGGCCAACATTATTGGTGTGAACCAATAATTCTACCCAACCCAACCTTTGGGGTCCAATAATTGGACCAAGGTTGGGTTTCCAACCTACAAATTGGGTAACCCCTGCTTGTACACCCAAACTACGTTTGGGTGCTTATCTCTAGCCTATCTTATAACATCTATGCAGGTTACAAGAGAAGGCATATTCTAACAAAGCCTTTTGCCACATATCGTGCCTTGTAAATATGAGCTTCGCTACAGAGTAGCTTTACTCAAAACCGCCACCTTCGTTTGACCACGTTGGTTTTATCAGGGCGAGGGACGTCGAGCAAAGTGCGGTTGCGGATGAAGGCGTCACTCTCCTTGACCATGGCCTCAGAGAGGTTCGTCAAGACATGCAATCGCCTGCTCGTAGGTGGTGGGTTCGTAGATGGTGGGGGTGCCAGAGAAAAGGAGGACTGGAGTGCCAGCCATGGTGCGGACGATGGGTGCGATAGGGTGAGAGGAGGTGGAGGAAAACGAGCTCATCGTGAGAGTCTTCATAGGGGTTCGGAGAGAGATGAGGAAGAGGAGGCGGTGGAGTTGCAAGACAGCTGCGCTGGAGGGTCGGGCCGGGGTGGGGACACAGCTGCACTGCTGCTCTGCTGCGCTGAGGGTCGGGGCGGGGAGACAGCTGCAATGCTGCTCGGCTGCGTTGAGTTGCCGTAAGGTGCAGGGAGACGGGAGCGTCTGCTGTGAGGACCTGAGGGGCTGGTGCGGGGGAGAGGGGAGGTACTAGAGTGGCAGAGAAGGGGAATGGATGTGAGAGACTGGAGGGAGAGGGGGTTGGACCATGGGGCACCAAGGATGGGGACCGTGGAGCGGGTGTGAGGGTAGTGACGAAGGAGGGGAGGGGAGGGAAGCAGGGGCCGGGATGGTGGAGGAGGAAGTAGGGAGGGAGGAGGTGGTGGAGGTTGTGAGGGGAGAGGGGTTGGGAAAGGGTTTAGAGGGGGAGGGGGCGGGGAGGGAGGGGGAGGGGCAGCGGGGGGAGAGGGAGGGGCAGCGGGGGGAGGGGAGAGGGAGGGGCAGAGGAAGGAGAGGGAGGGTCATCCGGGTCAAGGATATCTCCTGAGGAGGCTGGGGAAGAGGGGGGGAGGGGGTGGGGGTGCGGGGAGGTCCAGGGTGGAGGGGGGAGAAGGGGAGGGGAGGAGACAGTGTCAGTCCATAGAGGAGGACGTGTGGTCAGGGGGAGGGGGTTGGGGGCGGAGCGGGAGGTGTAGTACGGGTTGGCTTCATCAAAAACCACATCCCGACTACGAATGAGGCGACCTGACGGGGGATGGAGGAAGAGGTAGTCCGGGAAGTTGGTGTTATGACCAATGAAGATGCAGGGGAGGGTAGGCAAGCTTCCAGCTGCACGTGAGCGGTTCTCAGGGTGTATGAGAACATACGCCTTGGAACCCCACACACGCAGGGGGGAGATGTCGGGTTTTGTGGAAGTTCAGAGTTCGATGGGAGTAGTGGTGGGCTGGGAGGGATGGGGGTGAAGATTAGTGAGGATGGCAGCGTGGAGGATGGCATAACCCCACAGAGAAGGCGGGCAGAAGGTATGGACTAGGAGGCACCGAGCGGTCTTGGTGAGCCCTCGGACTCTGCTCTGCACCACGCCATTCTGCTTAGGGGAGTGAGGGAGGCAAAGTTATTATGACCCAAACGATGATGGAGGAGAACGGCTGGGTGGGTGAGATCACGACAGTGACAAGAGGGAAGGGAGGGACCGGGAAGAGAGGGGGGTGGGGGGGAAGGGGGGGGAATGGGAAGGGACGGGGGGGAGAGGGGGGGAGGGAGGTGGGAGTGGTGAGGTGGTGAATGGAGGGGCGAGGGGTGCGGTACGTGTATATGTGTGTGTGTGGGGAGCGGGTAATGCGACAGATGAAGCGACCGGTGGGGGCATGAAAGAGGTCGCAGTGAGATGCATTACCAGGGAAGGTAACGGTGACACCTAACATTTGGAGGTCACCAAGTGATACCAGATTATTGCGTAGTGAGGGAACGTGTAGACCTGTGACTGTGCCTGAGGGAAATATGGGGCAGGGAAGAGTGGAGGTGTGACGACCGGTGATGGCGAAGCTGGAGTCAGTTCTGTAAATGGTAGAGGGAGTGGGGAAGGGAACTAGCGTGCCGGCGTCGGGAAGGACGGTGTGTGTGGCTCTACTGTCAAGAATGATCTCAAGGGGTGCAGAGGAAGAGGAAGAGGTGGAATACTGAAAGGAGGTTTTATTAATAGCATGGCATAGAGAAGCAGCAGGAGAAATAGTGCTAACATGTCCTATGAATTCAGTAGAAGGAAACAGAGTGAAACCGGGAGGGTTGGAAGAGGAAGAGTCAGCAAGATTGGCAGCAGATGCAGTAGGCCCAATGCCATATGCAGGAGGTGGGTAGGGAGGGTATGGCGAGCCATCATAGGGTCGAGGGTAGTGGGGGGGAAAGGCTTGAGGCAGAGGTGTGTGCGGACGAGGAGTGGGAGTGGGAACAGATGAGTGGAGAAGATGCTGAACTTGTTGAAGGATATGAGGTGGGAGATGCTGAGTGAGGACATTGTGAAAATTGGGGGTGGAGGGTTGATAGGCGGAGAGAGTGTGTATGTCATGGAGAGGGAGGCGTGGGAAGAAAAAGTGATCCAGCGAGGTGGGGTGCCGACGTTGCCACGTGCAAACTACTTGTCAGTGAGGGTTTTGAAGCACGTGACAGTGGTGTGAGTGGTTTGAGAGCAAGGTTGACCTTTGTTGGAGCCATAGCGAATGACGTACTGACATGGGGGGAGGGTACCCGAGGGGAAGGGGTCTCCGCCGCGCCCCATACGGCCGCCACTGCGACCACCACCGCGTCCTCCGCCTCGCCCACCACCTCGTCCACCACCACCACCAGGGCCGCCACAGCTGCTACCTATGCCGATGCTGTGGTTGCTTGTGAGACTTTTGCGAGTCTAGACATCATTGACTGTGGTGGATATTAGCTTCGCTGTCAAGAAACCAGTCGATGGTGTCAGCCTCAGGAGGAGGATGGCGGTAGCGGGAGATGAAGGTGATGCGATAGGTGTCGTATGTGGGTGGGAGGTAGTCGAGGATGCGTGCAGCGCAAAGAGATTCATGAATGACAATGCCGCGGTTGTTGAGAGGATATGCAGTATCAATGAGGCGGCGAGTTAAGGTAGCTGCAGTGGGGGAGGAGTCAAGGGTGGTGTCTTGAAATTTGCGAAAGAGAGCAAGGAGGGAGCGAAGGTCCTGTCGGTCGTACTGAGTAGACAGAGTTTTCCGGGAGGCCAGAGGAGGAGGTGGGGCGGGGATCACGTTTGAGGTGGGAGGGGATGCAGGAGAAGATGCTGGCGAGAGCGCGACGATCTGCAACACGCCATGCTCCTCAGTATAGTCCCTCTCATCTTGTGCGTTAGAGAGAATGCGCGCAGTAGCATCAGCGTGTGCCTTCTCAACAACACGGTGTGCCTCATGCTGGATGGTGTAGGTGTCGCGAAACTTGTTGTAAGTGTTCTAGTTGGCCGCCCATCGATCCGGATTGTCATCATGAACTGGGGCACGAGGGGGATCAGGAAGGGACTTTGAGAAAGGAGGGGCGTCGGGGGGAGGAGGTTCAAGAGGAGGGGGGAGAATGGGTGGAAGGCCGTTAGGGTGGTCGAGAACTATGTGGAGAAAGACGCGTCCAGCGTCCTGGACGCATGCGTGCCCCCGAGACGCAGCAAAAGACGCAGGTCCGGGCAGCCAAAAAAAACCCCCCGGGAAGCCAAAAAAAAGTTATAGAGCAGAGGGAAGAGGGGGTAAGAGGGGGGGGGGGGGGGGGGGGGAACACACTTTCATAGCAAAATTTCTCCGCAACAACAACATTTCAGCCACAACAATAGAACATGAAGGTGAGCCCCAAATTTCCATAATCACAATTAGTCCAAGGGTTGTTTAGCATGCATACTACCACTAACTAACATGCATCACTCATCCTCCTCGCTCTCCATCCCCATCTCCTCCTCCTTCTCCAAATCCTCCTGCTCCTTGTACTCGTCGAAGGTGAGGTCATCCTCATCCACCTCCACCTCTCCATCCTCCTCAAGCTTGTACCCCTCGGGAAGGGGTCGGGGGGGAATGTTCCCCTCCACTATTCCCGCCTTCCTGACTTCCCCACTCGGCCCCGCACCTGCCGCACCCTTGTGGTGGTTGTGCACAACGTTCCAGTTGTGCGCAACGAACACAAGGTCGCGGACCTTCTCTGAACCCAACCTGTTCCTGCGCGCCCTGTGCACGCCATCCCACGTGGCCCATCCGCGCTCGCACGGTGAAGCGGAGACGGACTGTGAGAGCGCCTGGCACGCAAGGCCAGCCAGCTCCTGGTACTCCCAGCCGTTCACCTTCCACCACGTCACCATGTCCCCCTTCCCGGCGTTAATCTCCGCCCGCCCCTCTATTGCATCCTCAGACCCGAAGCACCCCTTCCCCTCAATGAACACAAGCATCCCCTCCTGCAGCGCCTTCATCGTCCCCTTAGTGTCGCCGCCGCTCTTCCAATACTTGTCGACAAATGCCTTCGAGCGCTGGAGCCACGCCTTCATCACCCGAGTGCACTCGACGTCCTTGTGGTAGATCCCCTCCTCTTGGTTGGCCGGGTTCAGAATCCGGCCAACCACGTGAAGGGGGCAGGCCAAGTTCTCGTCCCAACGCCGCCTCAGGTGCTCCTTCACCCCGTCCTTATCCGCCCTCTTGAGCCCACAATCATCGTTCTCCAACAGCTTCTGCAAGTCCTCCGTCAGCTGCAGCATGATGTCGTACATCTCACCCATCCTCCCCTTCGCCTCCCCATCAGTCCGCCTCATCACCTTGTAGGGCAGCTCCATCACCTTCACGAATGTCTCCGCCTTCTTCCACCACCCCACATCCAACACCGACGCGGCAAAAGTCTTTCCAGTCTGCGTGCTACCTCCCTTCTCCTCCCAATCCTTGTGCGTCACCATCTGAGATGCTGACGGATCTTGAGCAGCCGCGACACAGCGATGAAGTTCGTCCCGAAGCGCGTGCCCGCCGGGCGCAGCGCCTGCAGCGACTTCTCCTCGCCGTGCAGCTCGGGACACCGCAGGAAGGCGCGCGTCCACGTGTGGCTGCGCACGAAGGAGATGATGTCGTTCGCAACAGGGACGACCTCCTGCGCCCAGTCCATCCCGCCGATGTCCTCAATCAGCAGGTCGAGCACGTGAGTGGCGCAGGGAACGAACTCGAGATGCGGGTAGATCTCCTGCAGCTTCTTGCTGGCGGACACGTAGTTGCTGCCGCCGTCCGAGCAAAAAGCGACGACGTGCTGCGACCCAATCTTCTCGATGATCGGCTGCAGGACGCTCACGATGAACGCCCCACTCTTAGTCTCCGCCTTGCAGTCGACCGCCTCCTGGAACACCGCGCCGTTGTCGTTGATACAAATGATGTTCATCTGCGCGCGCCCGCTCTTGTCCCGCATCATGTCGCTGGCAATCGTCACGCCGGTCTCCGTCCAGGTTTTCGTAATCGGCTCCAACCCCTTTTCAATCCGCCTCTTGCACTCCTGCAGCCCGACGCCGCCGACGAAGTCACGCTTGGGAGGAACGTAGCTGCTTCCAGCGGCAGCAACGGCGCGCAGCATGTTGAGGAAGAGCGGGTGCTCGCACTGACGTTCCGCCGTGCGCGTCCCGGCGAAGTAGAGGCAGATTGCCTCGTCGGCCGCACGCGTCGCCATCTTCCCCCCCTCACCATACCAATCCTCCATCCGCCCCTTCTTAGCCTTCGGTCCCGAACCGCCGGCGCCGCTCACTGCGTTGATTGCCGCATCAGTCGCCCTCTCTTTTTCCTTGCGCGCCGAAATCTTGCTCTCCTTCCCGTCGCGAATGGAGTCGGAAACGCGCTTCGGAACCTTCGCGCAAACAATTCCGCCATCGCGCCGCACGTTCTCGTCATTCCATTCGGCGAGATGCTGGGTGCATCGGCTACTACTAAAGGCGAACTCTTTCCCGCACCAAAGACACTCGCACTGTTTCGACGCCTTCTTCGGATCGGTAAACGTCCAAAAATACCTATAAATATGGTGACTTGGGTTTTGCGGCTTTTTCTCAACGCCATCCGTAGTGAAACGCTTGGGGGGGGTATCGCCGTCGGGAACGACGTCTTTCGATGCGCTAGAAGACGAGGGATTGCTAGAGCTAGCCATAACGGTGGTGCGCGGAAAAGAGCTAAAACCACAAGGGTTTTTGAAAGAGAATTGGGTTGTGAGAAAAGGGAGCACAAATGAGAGGTTTCATGAACTAAATGGGCTTTGTGGGGGTGGTGGTCCTCAAAGGTTGGGTTTTCTAGTTGAGGAGTGGTGGAGAGGGGTTGGAATTCCAATTCAATTTTGCAAAAAGGGGAGGGGGTTAGGGGTGGATTAGATGGCTGGTTTTGGGGGTCGAATTTGCTTGGGGGGGGTCGAATTTTGGCGAAATTGACATTCGCGACGAAATCGCGAATGTCAATTTCGCGATCAGGAAAAAAAAAAAATCGGTCTGCCCGAAAAAAATTCCAGGGTGCGTCCTGCGTCCAGACGCGCGTCCTGCGTCTTAGCGTCCGGACGCTGCGTCCGGACGCAGGACGCAGGACGCAGGGCTGCCCCAGCGTCTTTCTCCACATTGGTCGAGAACTATGTCAAGAAGACAGTAGTCCTGGATGATTACGGAGCCAAGGTGAGTGTGGAGAGTATCCTTGAATGACGCCAAGTTCACAGAAGTAGTGTCGTGAAGAAGCTCGAGCTTGTCAATAGCTTTGATCAATGAGTGTAGAGTCGTCTGTCATGAGAGGGGAGGAGGGTGATGCCACCGGCTTGAGGGCGGGTGTGGTCAACAAGAGGACACCACCTGATCGCATCCGCGGGGTCCGCCCTTGCTGGTCGTGTCCGCGGGGTCCACCCTTGCTGGTCGCGTCCGCAAGGTCAACCCTAGCTGCTCGCGACGGTCGCGCTGGCCGCGAAGGACGCCTTTGGAGGTAAGAAGGAGGGGGGGGGGGGCAAAGGAGTCCATGGCGATCCGCAGCGATCTTCCGTTGTCGCCGCGGTTGTGGCGTTCGCCCACGGTCGGCGCGTTCGCGGGAGAGAGGGGAGGGGAGCACGGGAAATTTGTGGGATGCCTTGCACGGGGGAGGGCCGTGAGAGGCAGAATTGACCGCAACGGGAGGGGGAAGGGGCGCTACAGATTAGCGCTAAGGGAGGGGTGCCGCGACGGCAGAAGAGCGCACTAGGCGCGAAAGACGACGTAGAGTCGCACGAGGGAGGGGGGCGTGATACGGCACGCAGGACACGCGGTCCTTAGGATTGGAAATAGGCGTGAGCCGTTAAAGCTCTGTTTACCATGTGACAAAACGTGAAGATGAACCGATACTTGGATTTGGAAATATGAGGGTATACATATGTGTGCTAGAAAGGGGGGTTTGGTGGGAAGACTAGGCAACATTATTGGCCCCCACCAATAAGTTGGGTTGAGGAATTATTGGGAGGACCTACAATGTTGACCAAAACTGGGTCAACATTATTGGGGGGACCAATAATCTCCCAACCCAACCTTGGAGGCCAAATAATTGGGCCAAGGTTGAGTTCCAACCCCCAACTAGGGTTAACCCTACTTGTACACCCAAACAAAGTTTGGGTGTTTTTCTCTGACCGAAGCTTTTAGGGTAGATGCAGGTCACAATGTAAGATGATAATCTGACAATTATTGCATGCCGCTGGAATCCGTTCACTGGTCCTCCGTCTTGTGTTTGCGCTTCTCGTCCACTTCCTTGTCCCCGCTGCTGACTGCCCCTTCTTGCCATGCACTTTATCGGGCTGGGCTCGTGGGGGCTGAATGCACCCGTCGTTGCATCCAAGGCCACCACCATCCGCTCGCTAACTGCCTGCCCAATCCTTCTGATCGCAAGAGCGTGCAGAGGAGAACGAGTTGAAGGCCAAGAATTGTAACTCGCAATCCTCATCCTGTCCTTGCCCTCGAGGCTGTGAAGCCTCTCGCTGCAGCCGTGACCCATGTTGCTGCTGCTGCGCTTGCTGTTCAGCGTACTCCCTACACATCCCCGTCCCGCCGTGAGCCTTCTTCGAGCCGGCGTGGACCATCTCCTCTCTTGTCGCCGCTGCACCGCTCCCCTCATGCGTCACCCACGCGCCGTGACGCCTCTCCCTAGCGCCACGGTCGCTCTCCTCTTGTGTCACGGCATGGCCTCAAGGAGTCACCAGGTCGTTGCCACCGTCTTGCACAGGAATCAGCGGATCGGCTACGCTTCCCCAGCCCGCTGTCACGAGGCCCAACTGTGACGGTAGGGAGGGGGGTATATTGTCCCTCCCTAGGGCCCTGGTGAATCATATACGATTGCCCCGAATGATGAGGGCGCTCGCGTGGGCGTGTTGCAGTGTGCAAGAGCATTGTTGGCGGAATGAGTGGAACATCTTCTTCGCTTCCCTCGAGGCACGTTCCGCGTTGTGTAGCCGTTAGGCTGCGAGCACCCCGCATAGGCCAAGGTAGTGGAACACCCGGGGGGGATTGGTAGCCGTAGATGTCGGGTGGCATGGCAAGGAAATCGACCCACTCCCACCGGTGGCGGTACTTGTGCTCCTTCTCTCTGCCCGCCGCCTTCACTGCCCACCGTCCCCATGGGACGCGTTGGGTCGTGGCTGGACATGGTGTCCGTGACTGTGACGTCGCACATCCACACCACACCACTGTTGGGGTGGCGGATGGTGATATGGGCCTCCATGCATTTCTTGTTGGGCTGCCAAGCACGCATCCGCTGCAATTCTGGTGCTTTCGTGCCGCAGTGGAGTAAGCGGTTGGAAAGCATCGGGTGGGTGATCTCCGTGTTGTCGCGGCAATTGCAGGCACCGGGTACCTCCTGCGGGAAGGCGAGGGCAAAGGCAAAGTGGGGGGGCAAGAGTGGGAGGGTGGTGGTAAGGGCGGTGGGCATGAGCCAGACCCCAGCTCCCGGGCCAGTACGCGAGAGCAGCCACTGCGTGTACCAAGGCCGCTGGGGGTAGGGGGGAGGGACGCCTGCAGCCAGGTGTGCTCTCGTTCTGGCGAGTCGTGGGGTGGGTACGAAAGCCGCAGCTAGCATGGCCTTAAAGTTGCCGCCGCCCTTCGCTGACCACTCGTGGGCCGGCAGGATGTCTGGGCGGGTTGACCGGAGGAGGAAGCCGATTTGTCGGGTGAGGCAATGGCTTAGCAGCAGAAGGCAGGTGAGCGGGTGGGTGGGGTCGCTGCGACAGCAGCGTGGTGGGTGAGGTCGCTGATGCACGTGACTGTTGTTCCAACCATGTGCATGGCACTGCCGGGCCCACCCGGCTTGCGTGGACGCGCAGAGCAGAGTGCCAGGGGCCAAGCACGCGGAGCACTGAGGTGGAAAGTGCCTAGGCACTTGGCTTGTGGTCCCAACAGCGTGATATCATGTGCATGGGATAGCCAGGGCCCACGAGTGTCCTGCAGCCACCGCCTTCACGGCTGGTTGGATGGCCGCGGCAACTGGCAGGGTGCCCATGGGATCCACTTGTTACCCCACAATCGCTGCTCAGATGGTTACACCCGATCTGGTGGTCTATGAGCAGGGCTGAGGTTCGGCCGTAAGACATCCGGGTAAGGGGGAGGAGGAAGTCCAAGGGCGTATTGTAAAGGCGCGTGAACACCGCCGTTCATCCCACTGCGCTAAACGTGTGGCTGATATCGACCTGCAGCGTGAGGTGTCATGGGTGTTGTTCCATGAAAGTCCTGGAAGCGTCCACGTTTGCTTCTGCCGTTTCAGGAATTGCTTCGCTGAATTGCAGCAGCGCAAATAACCATGGGGCTGCCTCTCTGCCTTACCCCCCATTTCCCCCCTTCCCTTCTCCCATATTTGTGTGTGTGGGTGTGGGTGTGTGTGTGTGTGTGTGTGTGTGTGTGTGTGTGTGTGTGTGCGTGCGTGCGTGCGTGCGTGCGTGCGTGCGTGCGTGCGTGCGTGCGTGCGTGCGCGCGCGCGTGTGTGTGTGTGTGTGTGTGTGTGTGTGTGTGTGTGTGTGTGTGTGTGTGTGTGTGTGTGTGTGTGTGTGTGCATGTGTGTGTGTGCATGTGTGCGTCTGTGCATGTGCGTATGGGCATGTTCAGGTACCTTGATGAGACATTGCGAGTGAGCCGTGGTAATGCTGGTAGCCTATTTGTTCACGTTAGGGATTTTTAGTTTCACACTTACACTGTAATGCTGGTAGCCAGGTCTGAAATTTCCTGCTAGTTTATTCTGATTTACCGTAAAAGCATATATATTTAACTGTTCCTTCACTCATTCACCAGCCCTTGTCTATTAGTCGTGGCTGAATTTTCAGTTGTTTTTACCTCGTCTGGTTCTCAGCAGGGCTAATTTTTTATAGTCTACAGGATTTGATCCCAGGTCTTCATCCTTTTGAAATCTACCGACCAGGCCACACCAACGTAGATTAGCGTGCTTATGTATATCAGTAGCTTATTTAGCGGGTGTTACGAGTGCAATTGAGTGAGCGAACGAAGATTGCACTATCGAAGCAAAAGTACAATGAGCGAAGGAATGAGCGAAGAATATATAGCGAAACTACAGTGGTAACGGTAATGCGAGGGAATTGGGGTGCGCGACGGGCCTGGCGCCGAGGTTGGGAATTGTCGAGGCGGAGGTCCGGAGCGCGGGTTACCAACCGAACCGTGAGGTTGGGTCGCGTCGTGAACAGTGGCGGGA